GTCTATCCATTGATCTATTTGCAAAATTAATAGCTAAAGCCAAGTTTGTAAACAGAAATAGTACATGGCTGTGACGTCGACGAAGTGTGATCAGCTGTTCTTGTAACTAAATCTTGTAACTAAAAGCAAAGTTTCCGAAATTAATTTCAGAACAACTCTTCTGTTCTTTATCCGTGTGAAAAATGAAATTTGTGCCCTTGACGACGTTAAGGTCTCGCCTACAATAGCTAATTGAAGTTCTAAGAAACTGACCAATTGTAGTCGAATATTCTTCTTAACATTGTCTGTGATTGATCAATTTCTGAAGACTCAAGGCTTAAAGTATCAATTTAAGTTAATTTCTAGCCTCAAGTAAAGTGGGGAATTCCCAACATGTTAAATAAGCACTTTAAACCTTAAGCATTAAGAAACTGACCAATCAAAGTTAAGGAGAATATTCTTGTGAACTAAGCTTAATGTTCAATTCAAAGTGACCAAATATATTTCTGAGACAACAGAAGCTTCCTGACGGAATTTCTCTCGTGCTGCAACCGAATTTTGAGTTGACTCCTGAGGAACGGAAGGTTTCAGCCGTGGTAACTGAAATTCAGTTATACCAACCGAATAGTTTTCTGCGTGCGAGTGTTACTTTCAATCACGCCGCGTCGGAGGATAAGAAGCGCCGTCGAGCTGCCAGTGTTTTTCCTGCGAATTCGCGCGATTTCGCCGCAAACAGCGGCCACGTTGTCGTGGAAAATGAGGAGTCTCCCGCAGCTGTTTGCCCGCAAGTTTCCCGCCTCGCGAGCCGTTGCTTGTGGAAATGTTGATTTATTAATTATCGACGACGTTTTTCTCTCTTCTGACGCATCCGCTTGGGTTCGCCTGGGACTTGCATGGTGGCACTTCGTGTTCCGATTAAATACACGTAACAGCAAACAGCACGCGACGCGGGCTCGCGAAATTCCTGCAAGCGTGATAGCCGAGCGTAACGAGCGCCTCATGCGCGCGCGTTTCTCAGAAGGAAAATCTTTAAAACCATTACGGGACTCTGGCGAGCATAAAAGCCGGCGAGCACGAAGAGCACTCTCGCGCCTCTCTTTCCTGCCTCCTTTAGCAAGGCACTCGAAACTCGAAGTAGCCTGAAGGAGAGGGCTGCTCGATACGCGAGGTGTCAGTTACGTCCTAATGAGGTATTACTCTGATTGTCCATTAGGGATGGGTTTCGCGGCGCAAGTGACGGTAGTCACTTCGCACTTGGGCGACTCGCCGAAGCCGGGAAGGCCGCGCAGACGAGCGCGGTAATGACCGCGCGGGGAAGTTGCTGTAATCGCGGCGATCCACGTCTTCTTGGACAAAGAACGACATTCGGAGTGGTCCTCCGCGCCGGCTAACGACGCGATTCAATTAGAAAGCAGCGCGTGTTTCCACGACTCGTGCGCCGTTACGTGACGCAACTCTCTCCTCATCTCCTAGGGACCCATGCCTTTTCCTATCATTGCCTCCCGAATCCTTGCGCATCTACCCCAGCCAAACAGCGGAAGTCCAGAGTTCTCCCCATTGTCATGAGAAACGCATCAAATTTCTCGCGCTATTTGCCTTCAGTCCACGATGACACATCCTCACAAATCTTTATGAATCACACGCAGAAAACTATTCGGTTGGTAACCGAATTTTAGTTACCACCGCCGAAACCTGTCGTTCTTCAGGAATCAACTGAAAGTCCGGTTGCAACGCAAGAAAAATTCCATCAGGAGGTGTAAAAGTGTCAAAAGTGCAAGCAACGCAAACAGACTTAGGGTCTATTCTTTTTAGCTGCACTGTTGAACTAGTGCAATAAATTAGAGTGAGAAAAGATATAGTTATTTCATTTTAACTTATTGTATTAGTTCAGCAGTGCAGCAAAAGAAGAACAGACCATTAATGTTGTCAAGAGCGCAAGCTTCGTTCTTCACACGAATAAGTTGAGAGGGAAAACGCTTGCACGGCCAGGTTGAAAATCGCATCATCAGGTTTGCTCGTACGTTCGCTTGTACTTTTAACACTTCTTTATCTAATTCCCGTTGCATACCGAACGCGATGAACGATATCCAATGAAAGCTCTTTTTTCTGAAGAGAGGCCAGTGTGCAACGGGCGTAAGGTGTAAAAGTGTCAAAAGCGCAAGCAATGCAAATGGACCTTTTGACAGCGTCGTTCAACCTCTTGAAGCAAATCTTCAGTCCGTTTGCGTTGCTAGCATTTTTGACATTTATACTTCACGCTCGTTGGACACTGGCCTCTCTTCAGCAAAAAGAGCTTTCATTGGATATCTTTCATTGCATCCAGTGTGCAACGGGTATTGGGTACAAAAGTGTCAAAAGTACAAGCAACGCGAACAAACCTTCTGTCGCTAACTGAGATTTCGTTTCTTTTTACCTGTACGATATAGTTCCGCGTTAGCCCAACACTCTGCTGCGGTAATTATATTTTCGAGACCAAACATTTTCATTCCTTCGATCAAAAGCGGTTGTTGATATGGACGGTTGTTCAGTTTGCAAAACAGAACTGTCCGTTACTGCAACTGAACCTCACTGTAAATAGAGAACTTCTAGTTGTCACTGCAGAATATTTATCTTATCTCCCCCCCCGCCACCACGAACCAACAATTTACAGTAAACCGCGAAGCAATTGAGTTCCAAACACACTCCTAATTCGTGCAGATCCGGACTCCCTTTTTCCTTTCAGTTTACGAGAGTTCCTAGCCGTTAGGCAATTTTAAGTCCAATGTACCATCTATGGAGTGACTTTTCAACAAACTTCTTTCATCAGTACACGTGCGTGAACGTTTTATTAACAAAACCTACATTTCCTATTACGTTTGCGAATTCCCAATGAAACAACGCGCGCACTTTGTCACCGACAACGACGCTCATGGCTCGCGCAGGCTCGAGAACTAATCGCGCGAGATAAGGCCAGGTGCGCTGCGGCACCGGTAATTAATAAATCGCAACAAATTCTCCCGCTTAAGTTGTCGTAAATTATTTATCGACCGCTGAGCGTCTAATTATCCAGACGTCGCTACGAGCCGCGTCGCCTGTCGATTTATCAGCCAATTACAATCCATATATCCTCCAACGGTCATGGAGCTCGAGAGATCTGTATCTGCGGCCGATCCGCGCTTTTCTGTCTGTCCCGCGGAATTGCCGTTCGCTTCCGCGGCTTTCCTCCCCCCTCGCTAGGCGATCGCCTTTCTTCCGCGTTTTTCTCTCGCACCGGCCACCCCCGCAGGTCACTCCGGAGGCTTCGCTCTGGGTCGCGCGTCCTAATAACCTAGATACGACGATCACGAGCCCGAGGAAGCCCGCATGCGATTGAACCTTCCGCGCCTCTTCGATCGCGGGACGTTTGTGGAACGAGCTGAAGAAAGCCCCAGCGGAACCTTAATGGCCGGGTTATTACAACCCTGTCGGGAAGTCGACATCGGCGAGTGGCAGCGCGATTGCAACTTCACCGGCTGCGCGCGGCCGCGATTGCCCCGATGGACGAACGGTGTTTAGCTGCTGCGGCTTTCGGCAACATTTGACACGGGTCTTCGCGGATCTAACGTAGAGTGTTTGGGAAAGCACACTTGGCGCGATATCGCGCTTTGTGTTTGAACGATCATGTTCGCGGCAACGGAGGACGCTCTTGCGGCTTCTCGCCTAACGGTGGAATCAATCATTATTTGCGATTCATCGATAGCGCAACGTGCGTGCGCGTCGGAGAGGAACATTGCGACACACATTGTGGATTTGCATGCAACATTCTCGCCGAGGGAAATTTATCCCAAATTTATTAGCCTGCGCGAGTGAAAGGAACGGTCGGGAGATTACAGCCCCTGCTTCACGCTTCAGCGTTTGTCTCGCTGAGAGTACTGAGATTGTGTGTGTGTGTGTGTGTGTGTGTGTGTGTGTGTGTGCAGATCTCATCTCGAAGCTGCGAGGTTATGGGGATCAGAGATCGCGCGCCTACCGAGTGCAAAATTACGTCTCGAGACACACACACACACACACATACAGACGGCGCGAACGCTCCCGATAACCGTCGCTGTATAATCAAACTTCAAGCCGAACCGATAACAGTCGCGAGAGCGTCCATATTTTCGCGGCCGACAGCGAGTCCCACAGCGCGTATTCACCTTCGCCGTATATCGAAGTCTTATCTCTCACGTCGGATTTGCAGCTTTCGATGTTTCACTTTATATCCCCGTCATTAGCCCCGTCGCGCTACCGTCCGTCGGATCTCTCTCGGCCGGGAAGATATCTCGTCGATCATGCATGACGTGGTCCCTCTCCCCCTCTCTCTCCCTCTCTTTCTTTTTCTCAAGTTTGGAAGTCTAATCGCGATTCGAGCCGGCGCGCGAGCCAATTCTTCGGCACGTAAGCCCGATAATATCCGTCTCGATTCGCGTGACTCGCGACACTAATACGGAACGTTATGAGTCTGCGTGTCGTGAATGTCAGGCGACTCGCGTTGGGAACTTGCGTTTTCCATTTAATCACCCCGACATTGTAACCCGCGCATTCCCTGCGAAAAAAAACGAACGCAACTCTCCTTCCTTCTCTCCCTCTCTCTCTCTCTCTCTATTTCTCTCTCTCTCTCTCTCTCTCTCTCTCTCTTTCTCTATATATATATATCTCTCTTTCTCTCTATCTGTCTCTGTCTCTGTCTTTGTCTAGCAGTCAGGATTCCTTAGCGGACTTTTCGGAGAAAATGTGGCCCCTCGGCCGATTATTGAGACATCGAGGAGAATGATAAAGCACCTCCGCGGGATTGAGAGTGACGATAAATTCGCTTCGACGGATCATTTATATCATTTGGGAGGAACGATAGCGCGTGCGCGTGTAATTTTAGCGTCGAGATCCACTGCCGTGCGGCCGCTCGTAAATCATCAGCTAGTATTGTAACATGGAAATATTCGTGGCAGCCTCGCGCGTCCGATTTGTTTAGCCTGTAACGCGATATTCTGCGCGTCTTCGACGAAACGGACAGCGTTTGATCTCACCGTTCGGGCTGGTAGGTCCGCCGTGCGGCGTGTAAAGGTGTCCATGAGGATTGTGCGGGTGCGGCGGTGGGGGTAGCCACGCGAAGCCCGCGAGAGAATGCGGAAATCCTGCGGGGTTCCAGCCGGGAGCGCCGGCGGGTGCTCCGGCGAGATAGGGCGGCCCCTGCGAAGGCCTTTGCACTCCAGGATGAATCGGTTGAGGCACTACCGGACTGGACTTCTCCTCTTTTTCCTGGCCGGTCTCCAAGTCCCGCTCCAGCTCACAGTCCGAGTCCATGACGTTGAGGTCTTCGGACTGGCCGACGCTCCTGATCTCTTGGTCCTCCAGGTCTAGGTGATCCGTCGTTCGATCGCCCTCCAATGAGCGATTTGCTTCCGAGTCGCTGCGGTCGTCGAGGATCTCCCGCCTGCTCGCCGGCGACACGGATCTCGGATTGGTGATCCTGTCGATCCTTTCGTCCTCCTCCTGAATGCGTTCCTGCTCTCGCTGCAGCATCGAGTCACCGAGCCCGCTCGGCGAGTTGCTCGCTAAGCGGTGGTCGTCGCGGTCCCTCGGCATCTCTTGGTCTATTCTAATCGGCGAGGAGGACTTGTCGTGGCTCGTCCGAGAGAAGTCCTTGACCGTGAGCAGCTCTTGCCGCGCAACCGGCTGATCCTGTTCGAGCCTAGTCGGCTGATGATGGTGGTGATGATGATTGGCGAAGCTGGCAAGCCCGTGGGGACTCAACCTGGCGAGCAATTCCCTGCTTTGGAGCCTTTGCTGCTCCATCAGCAGCTCTCGGTACCTGCTCTCCATCTCGAGGTTCTTCTCAGCGTCCATCCTGTCGTCGTTGTCGCGCCTGGTCGCAAAGGTACCGCCGCTGATGGCACTCTTCTTTGTGCCGCTTAGCAGCGCGTCGACGCTGAAGCTAATCTTGCCGCTTCGCGGCTTCAAGTTCGAAGACGCTGACGTCGGGGTCGCCATGTCGACGTCCTCGCAGAGGCGATCGCTGCCGGAACCCGGACTCGTCACCACGCCTTCGCCGTTGCTCATGCCGCTCCTCGCGTGTATTGGTCTCTCTCAGCCTTCTCCGCCTGGCAAGTCTCGGGATACAAGCGGCGGCTTCAGCGAGACTCTCATCAGACCGGGCTCTCCTCGCCCTCAAACGAAAATGCGAGCGGCACGGAAATCGCTGGCTCGTTGCCTCATTTCCATGCTCGATTGTTCGCAACGTCCATGGCACTGCTGCCTCCAACGGGACTAACTCAGCGAGCAGCGTTGCACAGTCTTTAAGGGTGTCAGCTGATCACTGCCGTGGGCTCGGTTTTACGATGGAAGGACGCTTTCGGTCGGACGGTGATCAGCGTGTTGGCCACGTCGACGTGATCCAGCCACACTGCAGCACTCTGTGGAGACGAGCCATCACATCGCGACTCTCTACCAAGCCCGGCAACGTCCGCAAGGCTTCTTCCTAGGCGCAGCCCGAACCATCTCAACAAGTCCCGTGCTCCGTTATTCTCGGAATCCGCCGCATCGCCGCGGTGCGACCCAGCCGACACGAGCGGATTCCCCCATTAAAGTCAGAAGAGTGTTTCTAAGACATCAGCATGACGAACCGACTCTTCTTACCTCTCTCGGTTTCTATAGCTTTCGCATCTCTGCGAGTCTTGCTGGCCGAGCTTCTCTCTTCAGGATACCTTGTGGTCTCTTCTCACGCTGCGCCTGACGAATCGATGCGGAGACATCCGAGTCGCCGTGCGTGCCTTCAACGAACTGCGCGGAAGTTACACGTTGAGTGACCACATATTACAACCGAGGACGAGGTAGTCGCTTGGACGAGTCCTATAGTGACAGCTACCGCTGCCATAATATAATCCTCGCCACTTGATCCTCGCGCGACTCTTGTCTGAAAAAAGTCTTCCCGATAATCCGTCCGATGTCCCAAGAGAGCTCCCCTCCGCAGTCGCGTTCTATTCAGCCAACTCAGGCTCTTCCTCGTGTGGTCCGATCAACGTGTTTTGTCTATCTCGATGTCCGACGCGAAACGTCGACATCATCGCGTCAGCGTCTTCCCAGTCTTTTCAGGGGCATAGCTCAGAGAGGTCAAGCGCTGATTGCCACCGTCAGCAGATAAAGGGACTCCGTCACGCGACGTCCGTCGATCCACGTCCAAGCGCGGCGGTCCGGCTCGCTTGATATCGAACACTAAGAGCGAGCTTCGACACACGGTGTCCGCCGACACTCTGGCTATTCCTCCCAAAATACTCGCAGGGTTAGACCGACGACGCGACGTCCTCACGACGGTTCACCCCGAGAGACGGTCTCGCGCGCGGGCGGAGGGGATAAGGTGGGAGCACGGCTCTTCCCGGAAAAGAAACGAACGTCCGCGGTGCCGGGTACAAATGTAATCGGTGTAATCTGCGTAATCTGCCGCGTGGTGACCGCCACTGCCGCGGAAACGGCACTGATTACCAGCTCGGCTGCACTCGCGGCAGAGAGCCCTGCCAGGAACCCTCTCTCTCTCTCTCTTTCTCTCTTCCTCTCTTTCTCTCTCTCCGTCTACCACCCCTTCTCCTTCTCTCTCACTCTTCCCGCTGTCAACGCGTCGCGGTGCCGCCAGCGGGTGCGCGCCGCCCCCGCGACGCTCGCGGAACCGGTACGCTGGCCTGGGTTCGACCAATACGCGCAAGCCGACGCGCATCACGGGCGTTTCGAGAGTAGGCGTTCTTCGTGGTCGGACATGAGCCAATGGCAGGCACCGAGGTGGATCGAAAGCTGAAGAGAGGAGCACCCTTCGAGGTCGACGAGGCCGCCAGATGGAGCTGGCTGCACTCGGTCCGAAGCCGAAGAGGAAGCCCGCTGTGGTAGGGAACGAGGATGGTCGATCGGACGCGGCTTGCTGGTGGTGGGACCCGGTGGGACCCGAGCGGAACGTGACGACTCCTAATTGTCTAATTCCCGGGCGCGCAATGCGCGAATTGATTGGCAATACGGGTGCACGTGGCTGTGTGCACGGACGCATGCCGGGAGGACTGCATCCCTCTCACGTCTGGCCGCGAGCCTTCTCGTTCCGCGAGCGAGCGAGCGTTGACTGATCTAGGATTTATGATAGCGTCGGTGATACGCGCGACTCCGAAGCTGATCATATTTAATTGTCAGCGGGATTGCCGTGCGTGGCGGGACACGTGACTGGAATCTTGCGACAGCTTGCTTTTCGGCTGAATTACGCTTCGTCGCGAACGTATGCGCCGGCAGGTGGAGGGAGAAGGAGAGTAGGAGAGAGAGGGAATGGTCGATTTGAAGGATTCGTTGTCAATTTGGGCAATGAGCGAGTTGTTTATTCAACGACATGCGTACCTAAACCGAGCATTCGTATATTTGTATTGTAGCAGCGGGTGAAGCCGGAAGTTGCTTCGATTTAGTCGCTTTCTCACTTCATCTTGAAGCGATTGTCAAGAGACAGGAGATCTTTTCCTATTATTGGCTGAATATACAGAAAGACTATTAGCAGATGTTCTCGAAGATCCTTTTTCATGATTAACAGTGACTACTTACACGGATGTTTTTTACTAGAAGAATCCATATTTCTTTTTCTATACTTTTTTATTACATATATTGAGAAAATATTCTAATAATTTATTTATTTTCCAATTATGTTTTTAGAATAAACTGATCAAAAACCTTGTTCAAACAATATTTTCATTTCAAGTAGAGTTAAGTTTTAAGTAAAGTTAAATTGTTTTAGACAAATATTATACGTTTTTGACTATTTTATCGCAAAATATAAAAAAACCTTAAGAAAGCTCGGGTAATCCAACGTTGTTTCTATCATGGCAGCGAACGATACATTTGATCACAGGAACAGGTATTTGAGACAGAGTGAAAAGTTGTTTTGACTCGGTTGCTTTCTCACTCTAGCTATCTAGGGCGATTTTTAAAAGACAAAATTACTTTTACATACGCATTAAATGATTTATATACAATTTTGCACCAATATGTATGCAACATCAATATGTATGCATCACATAACAGTTTTGTAGTTACTATCGATATATATAGTAAAATAATTATTTGTACATGACATAAGATGATATAAATATCAACGTTAAAAATTTATTAAAAGAAAACATTTACAGTTTTAGCACCTTTATTCTGTGGCATCTTATATCTAGCATTTAACGATTGTAGAACTGCCATTGACAGAGAACATAACCTCTTCTTGCTGTGAGATAAAGAGGGAAAGTTAAATATATTTCAGTCACATAACCTCTTCTTGCTGTAAGATAAAGCGAGAAAGCTAAATATACTTTAGCCAATAGGGGAAGATCCTTTGCCTGTCGATAGTTACTATAAAATAGAATAAGAAAGCAATTGAATCAAAAGCAACTGAATGAAACAACTTCTCATTCTCAAACTGTCAATTTCCGGCTTCACCTTGCGAACAGAATGCTTAGTCTAGGTATATTGTACTTATTTGCTTAACACGTTAAGCGCTACGCCAATTTTGGTCGACTGTTCGTTCAGACGGCACTTGAGTATATAAACAAGAGATAACGAGTTGCAGAGAGGGAAAATGCCGGCTCGCCAGGTCGACTAACGAACTATCAGTTAGACAAAAGCCACAGTAAAGTTACAATCTATAAGGCATATCGATCTATCGATTATTTTATAAAGTATTTATTGCTCATAAAACTTAAAATGCTGTCAGAATTGGAAAGTGATGCATCGAGTGGATTATTTTTGCCATTTAAAAATTGACGTCGTCGAATATTATGATCATCTGAAGACAATATATTATAAGACAATATATTATAAGACAAAATAGTTTATTAGATAGATATAAAAAATAATGACGGCGATTATCAAGATTTAAAATGATTCGGCCCAAAAGGCAATCAATCAAATATTACGGCAAATCATTATTTAAACTATTTTGATAAAATCTATTAATAAATGATCAGGTATTATTTTGTAAATTTGATGCTGTTGGTTCTCAAGGACCAACGCCGCCGAGACGACAAGTCGATCCGCAGAGGTCGATTCGACCTCAACCTGGGTTTAAGCTCTACACAGATTTAAATTTAGGTTAAGGTTTAATCGATATTCGTCGAAACGGACTAAAGTGACGTAATTAGAGTTTCGAAGAACTGTGGGTGGACAACTAACCGCTTGGACGTTTCCACTTTCGCAGCAAATTGCATCTTTTCTCGATTTGCTGTCTGTTTGAAGGAACACTCGCAGGAAATATGTCTCTAATAGAAGGGGTGGATTGTAGCGGAACCAGCATATTGAATCTCCGGTCTTTGGAAGAAGGGAACAGCGAACACGGTTGCGCTGCGAGGGTGGGGAAGAGCCTGCAATAAGCCGGCAACACACGCACGCACCTCTCTCGCAGGGAAAGAGATACAGCAGAAGGCGGGAGGAGGCAGACGGGGGGAGAATTGAGTCGTCAAGCATGGGGTTTTTGCTGCTCGCCAGTCGCAAACAGCGCTGAGGTAGGCCTTGGCCGATGTACGCGCGCCGCCATCTCGTTGTCTTCTACTTTATGTCGAGCTCTTGTTCGAGCACGACGTGCTGTCGCGAACAAATGTTCCGCCAAAAGCTAAGATAATAAAGTATCAGGTAATAACAATAGCTTCCCCCTGCCTTGCCGTGTACAAACGGCCAGGATTTTAAAGCGAGCTATTTACCGACTGAGTCACTTTTCGAACAGACGCACGTCGCACGTTTGTTCTGATAAGAACACTCCGATTCCAAAGACATCAGATTCGTGCTGGTTAGAAAATGTGAAATTCAACTATAAATTTTTCAGTCGCGACGATCTCACACACAGATACATCGGTGCGACACGTTAAGTCTACACGAGCGTAACAATGTAACAACGGACGATAGTTTGGGATTACACTAATCCGATCGCGACTATGGCGACGATAGGGACAAGTGACAGCCGGACAGTCCCGTCGCGTCGCCCACGGCTCGAATCAACCCGAGAAGAAATTGTCCGGGCCGTGGGGAGTAAAAGCCGATTAACGAAATCTCGTTGCAACTGGCCGACTGGAAGTCGAACATCCCTTCGAGGTGACTCGCTTCAGCAGAACTTGCCACGCTAATATGCAGGTACCTTCTCCATCATTTTCGGCAATTTTTCTCACTGCGGACGGATCTCATTACGTGCGTTACACATGTGTCAATCGCGAGGCGCTACCAAATCATGGAGTCCGTTAATGCCAGTTTCTTCACCCAATAGCTATCTTCCAGATAAAGGTAGCCGTCAGATAACTAAAAATTTTTTTTTCACTGAAACCTCTGATTACATATCTAACAGATAGCTATTCTTTATACCACCAACTTTCAACACGAAATATATTACAATTTTATTATAAATTATTATATTTTGTAAAAAACAGCGAATTTCTTTTTCAAACAAAATCGTTCGAAAAATTCAGTATCGTCCAACATTTGAAAATTGTTCAGTTTATTTTTTATTGTATAAGATTCACAAATACATCATCATCAGATTCACAAACATTAATATCCAACAACAAATCCGTTATTATGTTTGCGTTTTCATGAAAGCAGCAACAATTATGTACTTTTATAATTTTTTAGGTTATATCGGAATACTGAAATCAATAACTGCCACAAATATTCACTATTTAAAGTAAAAAATAAATTTATTTGCTAAATTCAAACTTTATAAAAGTGAAGAAAAGCGATTCTGGGAGTGGATTCTGGGAGATATGTTTTGGATAAATTTATCGAAAACTTAGAAAAAGAAATTGGCCACTGACCTACTGAGTTGTGACACAAACCCAATTGAACGAAAAATCGGGTGTGATCGTTAAATTGGCGAGCGATGGCGGACTTGAAACGCGATCGAGTTGGTGACACCATATCATCAATCAAGAGTGCAACAATGTGAGAGGTATAAAGTGGCTTAACTTTTGAGATGTTAATGACGGGAATATTTACGGGAAGAAAAGTGGCCCAAATTATCGATGACGGAAATATCCGCGCGTTTAAAAAAAAATTCTTGCAACGAAACAATTGGAACAAGACACTATGTTTTCATGTTTTAAGGATCGCTTTATTCAAATTCGAGATCAAAATTGCGCAATTCAAAATGGCGGGTCTAAGATGGACCAAAAATTCAAAAAACCGTTTGGTTCAATTTTGACTTCGGATTTGAATGAAGTGATCCTAGAAAGATCAAAATATTGCATCCTGTTGCAATTGCTTTGTTATAAGTTGTTTTTTTAAATACGCGAATATTTCGATTATCAACAATTCGAGCCACTTTCCTTTCCACTGATATTTCCACTGAAGATTCCCTTAGCTGTTATTTCATTAACAGCTAAGGGGTTAAGCAATTTTCAAGAACCACCTACCTGATTCCCCTTCTCTGGCTCTTTGCGTAGCCACAATGTGCACAATGGTTCGCGGCCGAATCCCGAGCAAGAGATTATTTGAATTTATGCAAGATAC